ATCTCTACCTTAGATCATAATCATAAATTCCCACAACCCAAACTTGAAAACTTCAAATTTTCAAGACTTAATATATAAAAGTTAAAGAACTTGAAAACCTGCACATCAAAAAAAGTTCAACATAAGTAAAAATTACATAGTAAACTTGAACACTTCAAATCTTTACCTAATACATAAGAGTTATAATACAAACAAAATCACGATACAAACATAAAATAAGATTATAATGCAGTCAAAATCATGAAAAAAATCAATATAAAATTATTACCTTATATTGCAACCAATAAATCAAATATTGAACTTGGAGACTTCTTCAAATCTTCATAACATAATGCATAAAAACTATAATGCAATCTAAATAACGATACAAACATTCATAAAATTATAGGAGAAGTGAAAAAAACAAAAAAATTATGAAGATTATCAATAGTAAAATAGAAGAAAAATCAAAGATAAAGAAAATAAATTTAGAGAAGTATAAGATAGAAATAGAATTTGAGAGGGTGTGAGAGATGAAGATGAACAAAAAGTTGTTTTTATATATAAATAAATGATTGATTGGAAAAAATGAATAGTTTGAAGTTATGTCATTTGAATTAATATAGAAGGAGATGAATGGTTTGGAGTTGAATGCAAACATTTAAGAAAAAACATAAATTGACAAAAAAAAAATATAGTAGTGGATATTGAAAAAATGAATGAGAAAAAAGAGAAATAAGGTTCTAGGCTCTAGAAGGTGCCAAAGTCTTTAATATATTCAACATTTAAAAAAAAATCAAAAAATTGAGAAAAAAGATAGAAGAATTGTAAGCATTAGAAAGTGTCACCTCATTATGCTTGGTTTCTTCTTTAATATATATATATATATATATATAGTTGTTTATTATTGAAACTTTGAAAAACAAATTTTATTAAGAAATAAAAGAAAGTAAATGAAAGAGCAAATCAAGAGTTGGAGGTTATCCTGTGACTACAAAATATCAAAATTTTATTCGAATTTATATGATCCAATCGTAAACACAAGCATATCCTATGATAACAACAAATTCAACAATATTGAAAAAGAAACATGTAATAACAAATCACATTTTTAATGAATATAATTTCTACATACCTTTTAAAATCTTTGAATTTTTCTTCAACTCTCACCTTTTTCATCTCTCACTAAAATTTTTTGTAGGATTTCATTTTGTTTATTATTGAAACTTTGAAAAACAAATTTCATTAAGAAATAAAAGAAAGTAAATGAAAGAGCAAATCAAGAGTTGGAAGTTAAACTTGGGTATACAAAATTACAAAAAACCCTAATTAATTATGAACTATACATTCTTCATASAGGGGTAGAGAAGTCTTTAATATATTCAACATTTAAAAAAATCAAAAGATTGAGAAAAAAGATAGGAGAAGTTTTAAGCATTAGAATGTGCCACCTCATTATGCTTGGTTTCTTCTTTAATATATATATATTTTATACTTGTCAAAATACTTCATTTCAGTCTTCTAGAACATCCCTCTTGGTGTATTTTATATATTACGGATTTTGACCAATTTAGGATATTTGGGGGTTTTTATACCCTTTTTGGTAGTAAATGTTGGCTAAATTTTTTAGTTTGGAACCTTTGTTTAACCAAACCTAACAAGGTGAGTTCAAACTATTTTATGAAAACCTTGTACATGCTAAAAGTATGTATTTTGCAATCTTAAAACCTTTTTACTTGATATTTACCAAATGTGTTGTTTAGTTGACGAGTTTTGCATATTTGCTATATTTGATTTTATAAATCTTGTGAAAGGCTCATATTTGGGGGTTTTTGGACACTTTGGTAAATAAATCTTGAAAGTATGTTATTTTGATGATTTATTTCATAAATGAAGATCTTTGGTGTTATAGCACTCTTGGTGTCTTTGATTCTATAAACTATTTGAAAAATACATATTATTGTGTTATAAAATATTTTAGAGGTAAATGGTTTGATTTTACTTGAAAGATGGAAAGAAGGTTTTTGAGTTGATCATACATTTGAAGCATGTATTTGCATGACCGTTGGTTAAACGCGTTTTATTGAATTGTTATTTGTGTTGATTGAGTTGCTGGCTCGGTTTTGACTCAAATGAGTCTTGGGGGACAATTGGCCTGTTTATTTGCTTTATGTCGAACCTTTGGACTTTGGAGTTATATGCAGTTATGACATATTCAAGCTATGCCCCACGTGTCGAATATTCCAGATGCTATATTACAAAGCTTCAAGCTGTCAAGTCTAAGGTAGTCCCTCTTCAATTTGTCCTATATAGATAAGAGATCCACTTCAATTTTTCTCCTCTCCCACCTCTCCAACTATTTCGTCCTGTGTTCCCCATAGCAATTGGGGATCAAAAACACCAAATTTGAATGACCCCTGGTCTTATTTAAAGAGAGTGAAATGAGCCATTAGCTCCAGGAAAGAAGGAAGAGAAAGGGAAGGAATGACTATAGTTACTCAAAAGGTTCGAAATCGAATCCATTCAAGTTGAAGAAGCTGTGGCGAAAATGTCAGGTCGCTCAACGGGGAGAGGATATGGTGCTCTCAGATTTTCTAAGAAAGACAGGGCCTACGGGTTATTTTGCATGTCGGAAAAAAGACGTACGTTGACCTTGACTCCACAAGTAATAGAGTTGGAGTAGTTGAGCTTAATTATCTCATTAAGCTATAAACCTATAGTAATTGATCTTAATGAATGTGTAATCCGTAAGTGATGCTCATATAACATAGATATGTGACATACTTTTGAGTTCCCTCACATTCAATGGAATGGTCTCCCTGTCACTGAAAGCTTTCGGATATGATATTTTGTCCTTTTCTTTGTGTTGTTTTGGGTATAGAGAGTATTCATAATTTGATGTTGTAGATATGTTTATTGGTCATATTTGGTTGCTTTGGAATACTTGAATTTAATTTGTGTTTTCGTTATTTGAACATCAAGCTTTATTCACTGTTTTGTTAGTATTGGTTTTTGGTTTCATATAAACGGGTGTTTTGATTAATGGATTTTCATCACAAAAATTGTGGGTTTTGAAAAGATGTTGCTTTTACGATAAGAACATTTCATTTGCGAAATTATGATAAATCAACATTCTTTCAGTTTTACCGTTTTTTGATTAAGATGAAAACTGTTTGAACTCACTAACCGTTAAGCCTAACCATTCTTATTTGTCGACATGTACATCAGGTCCCTGTTAGGGTTTGGTACTACCGACATTGTGATGAATTGAGTGGTAGTTAAAGACACGAGAAAGATGTAGCTATTCAATGACGTCTTCCACATTTGGGGATAACGATTGTTATTGAGTTTTAGTAACACCGACTTTGACCTAGTTTTTATTTAAGACTTGATTTATCAATTGTTGGTGAAAAATCTAGATTTGTCATTTGAGGTAATTCAAGTATTGATTTATAAAAATGGATTTATTCTTTAATTGTTGTATTATTGGAAATTTTAAATTAGTTGTTATTTCCAGAATTGAGGGTATTACATATTACAAGATTTATTTGTAAAATGTATTTTACGTATTAATTTTATTATGATCAATAAAATTAAATAAAACCTAAATGGACTTAAGGATCATCACAAGTCCAACCTATGATTGGGTATTAGGGTTAGTCTATAATAGTGATGGCCAAAAATGGGTCCCGAGCCAGCCGATCCAATCCCAATCGGTCCCAAAATTTCACATAACTGGCTATAACCGGTCCTGGTTGAATAGATGAAGACCGGTCAGGCTAGTTTATAACCAACCCATTTTTCACCTTGAATGGGTCAAAGCCAAAAATCTGATTAATAGAAGGAAAGGAGATCAGAAAAATAGGCGGACGACTTACTCCTCTCCTATCTTTTTAAGAGCTGCCATGTTATGGGCCGCCGTTCCCGGTCACAGTCTCACCCTTAAAAAATTATTATTTATTTATTTTTAATTTTTTTTAATGATATATATTTTTAATACATTACTAAATTTTTTGTACGAGTCACTTAAATACACTTTAAAAATACGTTTTATTACGAGAATTGTGAACGCTTTTTGCGAATTGAGAACTTGGTATGTAAACCTCTCAACCTTGTTACATATTTAGTGTTTAGAGGCCAAAAAATACAAAAAAAGAACGGTCAAAAACAGCTAATTAACAACTATATTTTAAGAAAAAAATCAATTTTTTGAATATTTTAGGTCGGGCTGGGCCGGGCCAGTCCATAATCAGTCCTATAACCGGTCCCGGTCCCACAAATCCGACAAAAAACATAACCGGATGTAACCAGAGGTGGTCCCATAACTGGTCCTCACCGGTCCCGGGCTGGGCCGGTCCTCCGACAGCCCCGCCAGTTTGGCCATCACTAGTCTATAACTTCATTAGACTAAGCTCAAGCCTAAAAGGTTAATCATCTAATCTTTTAGATTTAGAAATTACCAGAAAAATATAAGAAACTTTTTTTTTTTTTTTTCCTATTATACACTTACTAGATTAGGGTTTTAGGTTAGTATCTGGTAGAAGCCAAGCATGTTTGGGTTGGTCGGGTTTTTGAACACACCTACTTGGGACACCAGAATATTGAGATAAGATGGTGATTGTAAGGCCTCAATTCTTTCTGGTGGGGGGACGACTCTGCCCTTCCATCCCTTGGACAAATAAAGAACGAGGGCTGAGCTTTTGGTTTCTTATTTTGGTTTCTTATTACAAAAAATCAAATTAATATCTCAAAGTCATCCTCTAATTGCACCAACATTGTATTACAAGATAATAATAATAATAAAAATAATTAAATACTTAAAATGCATTTCATTGGACACTTTAAAACCAAAGCCTTGGACTCCCATTTTAGGTCCAGAGCTCACTCTGTCATTTGTTGTCCCACCTGCAAAACACTTTTCATATGTTGTCGACATATAAAACAACACTATATAAACACTGCATTTTCGTATGTGTTGTTTCATGAAAACCGATCTGTAAGTTTGTACAGATATTGAATTTGTAAGAAAAGGGGAACCATCCATCTATTTTCATCCAACGTTTGTGAACCATTTTGCAAAACTAAATCCATGATTACAGGAAACGTCACATTCGAATACGATCAATCTACTTTTTTAAATCCAACGGTTGATAAAAGTTCTGTTCTCCTTTTGTGTTTCTTAACTCTATTATAAATACAAATAATTAGCTAACCATTTTTAGTTAGTTTTATTTAAAGTTACAAAAAAGACTAACCAGAAATGGAAGTATGTTAGTTCAATCAAGAAGATGAAACCTTCCATTGATCACCTTGGATGAAGTTTCCGACCGAATACACGTTCACATGCTCGGTCGGAATCCGGCTACTCCACGCCACCCGTCCCGACAAATCCGACCCTTTCCCACTGTTCCCAAACTCTCCATAATAAAGCGTCGTCAACGCAAAATCCCCCGCCCACGGCATCCACCCCTGCGCCGTCACCAACGCCTCCATTTGGCAATCGATGAAAACCGTCCTCGAGAACTCCTTCCACGGCCGTCCCAAATAATTCTTGTGGACTTTAGGGTTGCTATAATATAACCTCATATACTCTTCGGTTCCATTCACTAAACAATTTTGGAACACGAATCCCGTGGGTTGTGCAGGATCGATCCGTCCGTGAGCGGTGACGGCATTGTTCTCGCCCTTTTCGGGCTTGAGTTGGCGAGGCCGGACGAGGATGGTGCAGTCTTGGAAGATGGAAGCGGAGTTTCCGAATATGAAATCAACGTTGCCTTCGATGCGGCACGATTTGTAGAACTGGCGAAGAGTGTGGGCGTAAAGGGTGTCTTGGTTGCCCAGAAACTCGCAGTTTTCGATAATGGATTGGTCGCTATCGGAGACAAAGGCCACGGCTTGGTGGGCGTCGGGCCCAGCCGTGTTCTCGAAGGTTAAACCACTTGCCATGAATCCGTCCCCGACCACCCCTGTCACATGAAATGATGGTCAGATTATTTTCAACAGATTCTCTAAAATAATACTACCGAATTTAATTTTTTAACAAAATCTTTAAAATAATTAATTTATTATAATTGAATTTAAAAAATTAAATTTTAATCTTTTATTTTAAGAAATGATTTAAAAATTCAAGAAAGGTCAATTTTTATAAAGCAAAATCTTTCTAATTATATAATTTATATATATTTATAGAAAATATATTTATTAATAAATATTTAAAATAAGTATTTACTAGAAAAAAGGATGAGTTACCGAATGTAGCTGTGTTATATGTCGAAATCCCTGGTGGGCCCACGTTCAAGGACCCCGTAATTACTGTTTTACCCATTCCATCTCCCAGAACCACCACATTCTGCTTTTCTAACCCGACCCGAACCGTTTCCTCATAAACACCGGCCTTTACCCAAATCACGAACCGCCGTCCGTAACCCCAGTCCGGCGCTGCATTCACCGCCTCCTGCACCGTCGCGTGATCACATCCCCCACCTTTACACACCGTCACATCAGCTTTCAACCCCGTCGGAACCCCCAATTGTGGTCCTCCTCCGCCGCCGCCCGACCCACCAGCCTCCCAGAACCCGTCTCTCTCGGTCTTCGGCGGGACCCACGACGAGATTTGATCGCCATACAAATCGTAAGCCATCATCAAGCTCAAAGCGTTGCTGGTGTGATCAATCAATGTGTTCAGAAACGACATCGTCTCGTTGATCATACTCGAAGTGTTCACGTACTTGAGTGCCGACCAACAATCGTACTGGTAGGCTAATCCGGCGCCGGTCCAAGCACGACCATCCTTCATCATGCCACGTGGCAACGCATCAGCCGTCGATTTGAGACGGTACTCCGAGTTGCGAAGATGTTGGATGCAGTTGTTAGCGGCGTTGGTTTGGTTTGGATTCCCAGCGGCCGCTTTCAGAATCGATTGCGCCATGGACTGAGCAGCACGGAGGTTGTGGGAGGAGACGGACAACGCCGATTGAATGATCTCCATGGGATTTGGCTTGGGAGAGTTGGTGAGTGAAGATTGGCATAGTTGGGGATACCTGGTAGCCTTACAAGCTTGACGGATGAGATCAGATGAAGATGGATCATCTTTTCTGGAAGGCGGATGGATTCGACGGTGGCGTGAGGCGGCGGGTGAAATGAAAAGGAGAAGCGAGATGAAGAGGATGGAGATGATAGCCATGGAGATGAGAACAAGCCGTGTAGTAGAAATGGGGTGATGAATTGGTCTTCTGCGATGCATTTTGGTGAGAGATTTATAGGAATTGAATGGTGGGAGGGAGTGAGATTTGGAAGGTAGCGGTTCAGTGGGTGTAATGTGTGAGTGGAAATGAAGAATGGCGTGTGAAATCTTTGCAGTGGTGTTCACGGGCATTCCTTGGGTCTGACCCACCACGTTTGTTCTTGTCACTCGAAAAAATTACTCTATTTCTTTTTAAGAATATTCAAACCGATGAAAGATTAAAACTCTTTAAAAAATCAATAAATTTTAGTGTTTGAAATGATCAAGTTTTTGGATAATTTTTTGAAATAAATAAATGTTTGGATATTCCAAAACATATAAATAAATTCTTGGACTTTTTTCAAACTTGTTAGATGCATCCTTATGATCTATAAAACTGACTAATATAATAAAATAAGAGAAAAAAAGCCAATGAACTATTATATTTTCAATGATCAAGTCTCTAAATATTTTTTAAATCAAAAAAGTACTTGAATATATCAAATGAAACAAATATATATAAAAAATACCTACATTTAAAAAAGATTATTGATGAAATATAATTGGATTAAAAATAAAAAATATTTTGTTAGTGATTTTTCAAATTAAAAAAAATAAAATAAGAATTTAAAAAGTATTATTGATTATATTTTTTAATTAAAAACAAAATATATTCTGTGATATTTTAAATTAAATTTTTTTTTAAAAAGAGTATCGAATGAAATTTATTTTATTTAAAAATAAAAATATATTTTATTTTTTATTAAAATAAATAGTAATCTTTTAAATCTTTTTTTTTTAATTTGAAAAATCACATACCACATATATTTTATTTTTAATTAAAATAAATTTAATTTTTAAATATTTTTTTAATTTGAAAAATTACTGAGAGAATATATTTTATTTTTAATTAAAATAAATTTAATTTTTAAATATTTTTTTAATTTGAAAAATTACTGAGAGAATATATTTTATTTTTAATTAAAATAAATTTTATCAATAATCTTTTTTAAATGTAAATATATTTTTTTTCGTAAATGTAAGTATTTTTTTGGTATATTTGTTTGCTTTTATAAATCTAAGTACTTTTTTTATTCAAAAAATGTTTATGAACTTAATTGTTCAAAATATGAAAATTTATTAGCTTTTTTTCAGACTTTGTTCATTATTTTACCACATTAACCAGTTGTATAAGTCATAAGAATGTATCTAACAAGTTTTAGAAAGTCCAATGAGTTATTTAACATGTTTTGAAATGTCCAAGCACTTAATCATTCCAAATACTAAAGTCTATTGAGTTTTTTTAGACTTTTCCCCTTAAAACGCAGAAGATTCAAAACTTTTAACCAAATTTTTTTGGTACAAACTAAAGGGCTCTTGGCTTAGCGATATGTGAGTCTTTAGTCTCTTAGAAAATTAAGGGTTCAAACTTCACCAAAAATGAAAAAGATGTGTGAATTTATTTATTTTATTTGCCATTATATATAAATATTATATACTCAAAAAAATATTAATATAAATTTGTCATTTTTTTTACTATTATAATATTATATACCAACTTAAACATTCTTTCTTTACATTATTTAAAAACTAATATTTACATATAATTATTGTTAATAATTTAATATGTAGTGGATTGGGAAACATTACTTTTTATTATTATTTCAAAACTAATATTTACATATAATTAATAATTATAATTTTGTATAAAGTGAATGGGAAGTTGTTTTAGATCCAAACCTCTCGTCACATTTCTCACTTTAACTCATATTCTCACATGATTCTTCGTCGCTTATTATATGTATTCTTGAAAGTTTAACTATGGTAAAGTCTTCAGGATCTACTGTTATGAATAGTGAATTACTATTCTTATTAATAGCATTTCACAAACCCGACAACCATATGCTTCGACCCGCATCGAATGTCAGGTCATTCTTTGTAAAAGCAAGCTGGCCATGGCACCCAAAGGCCCTTGTGGAATTCCTGCAACTCCCTTTAGGGATCTTTATTAGAGGTCACCGGTTCGAGTTTTGCAAAGTCACTAGAGATTTCATGATTGTTTTCCAGAGCTACTGAGATTAGTCGATGTACGCGCAAGCTAACCCGTACATCCATTGTTAACAAAAAAAGAGTTGGAATTTCTAACTAAATTTACTTTCAACTCTGACAATTTTTTTATTTTAAATATTATAACATTAATCATTTTATTCAAATATTAGTTAAATTTATTATCCTAAGACACTTTTTAAAAAAAAAAACTATATAAACTAATAACATATTTAATTTTATTGGTAAGAAATAATTAAAAAATCAATTCTTTATTTTCACATTAAATTTTAAAAAGATTCTTTAAATTTAGAGCATTTTTTTCGTATTCGTGTCTTTTTTTATATTTTAAAAATCACATGCGGTAACTGAAAATTCAAAAATTTATTCAGATTTTGAATAAAATTATGAGTTTTCATATATGTAACTTGAAGTTAGAAGAAAACAGTATCAACATGTACCAACCGAAAAAAAATTGATAACAGTTAAATTAATAACAGATACAATTAATCTGTATATGTTATAAGATTTTACATATAGATTATAATTTATACACATTATTAACAACTAAAAAATATGTTCCATGTTACATTCAAAATGGCCATTTGATTGTAATTTATTTAATTTTCTTTTTCTTTAAGATAGATTTTTATATTTATTATATTATTAAAATATTTAATTTATATAATATAATAATATTATTAGTTCTCTCTAAAATATTAATTTCAAATTTTCCGTTGGTTGAATATATTATAAAATATTTCTTTCACATTATGATTATTTTTAAGAGTTTTTGAAATTCTGAGAATTTTATGTCATTAAATTCTAACAAAATATTAATTATTATTTTTATAAAAAAATTATATTATTAAAYCAAAAATAAATTACTTYRTTRTTAAATYTAAATTAARTTATAGTAAAAAATTGAATTAAAGAAATTATACAAAAAATAAGAACTTTTAAATATATATAACTTGATACTAAAATTGATAAAAAAAAATTCAAAATTTTATAATACCTTTAAATTTATATTTTATTCAAAAAATAAAAATATTATCGTTTTTCCAGTACCATATAAAATCGTGTTATAACATCGACAGATACAAAATAAAATAAAATATTAAAATCAAGATATATCTCATTACATTAAATGTGATTGTTAAATGATGGGGAGTGTAGTTAAGAGGAGAGAGAATGAATGGTTTAGTTTGGTCACATGCACCGATTACTATTACTATTGATTTTGTGATGGGCATGGTCCCATGTGCATTTCATGTCATCTTCCAACACACTTATTTTAATCATATATAGTTTTATAAAATGTAATAGTGTTTGTTATAATTTAAGGGCCTTTTTATTTTGTAGATAAAATATGGAGTTAGTTTAATTGATATTTTATTGAGTATTAATATAAAGTTATTTGTATTGATTAATTTGTCTGTATAGATTTAGAATGTTTTTGTTTGGAAGGTTTTTTTAGATGGAATGATCGTGTTTTTTTAATTGAAAGGGGTAGATTTACAAAGAAAAAAAACTTGACTTTATATAGCTTTCCTTTAAAAGCTTACTGGATAATTTATTTTGTACATCATTAAGTCACTATCAAACAGTCATGTATAGTTGAACTGTGCATGAACATTTTTTTTTAAGTATATAATAATTATATACGACAAATGCAACAAATAAACTCACACACCCTCCTCACCGTTGGTGAGGTTTGAACCCTTGTCCTCCTAGAAGGCCAAGGACTACGATACCGCTAGGCCGAAGGCCCTTTTGGTAACATCTTGTTAATGTACATTACAAATCAACCCTATGCATGACCATTTTTATCCTTATGCATCAATGATAAGTGTGCAAAAACATATACTTTAGTACCCAATTATAACTTTATTTCACTTCATTTTACACTTTTCTCAATCATATATTGAGTCTTTTAGTCTTATTTTATGGTTTCACATTTATTAGAGCTAGGATGCAGGAATGGTGATGTTTTATGTATTTGATGAATGAAATACTGACATAAACATTGTTGTAGCAGGTGTATACGTTGCTGCAGCACCGGGCATTGGATATTGGCACAACTGGCTCAATCTTGTTGAATATTTTTGAAAAGTCAAATTTTAGAAGAGGACATTTTCTAGTACTGATAGCAGACGATTTTGATAGAAGATGTCACTACAAAGATACCTTAACCTTTTGCATTTAAGCATCTTTTATATTACACATTGGTTAATAACCAATGGTTATTAACCTCTAATACCTTTGATTCCCCTCTTGCTCGTGTGTGTGTGTGTGTGTGTGTGTGTGTGTGTGTGTGTGTGTGTGTGTGTGTGTGTGTGTGTGTATAGGGGTAATCTTTTGTTAAGTAATAACAATTGTAACACTTTGAACAATATCACTTTGTCATCAAGAACAAAGTTTCATCTAAACTTTGGGTCCTTGTTACTTTTTAATATCATTTTGCAAGTACGTTTAAGTGTTCTTCATCACTTTCAGTTGCTACAACAACTTTTCCATCTTTCTCTTTACTTTTCGTGCAAAATTTACTTTTACGTCATTTACGTTCAGTTATTTCCATTTATGTCATTTATTTTTAAGCACTTACATTCAGTCATGCTAGCTAAATACCTTATTATGGATGTAAGTGAAGGTTGTGAGGTCGACAAGTGTTAGCCGACGATTGTTTTGCTAATAGCAATTTATTTCGCTATTCACAAGTGGTATTAATATTTTATCGGGTAATCTTTGACAAATTGATACATGTTATTTTATTCAGATGAATTTGACTTAAAATTAAGACAACACAAATATTTTTACTAAATGTGTTATAGAGACTATAAAGAGTCTTCGTAATCTTATGGTTGCAAAATTATATGGAAAAAAAGACAGGATCTGTACTAGTTTGGGATTGATGCATCACCAACTGGACTCCAACATATGGTCTAATATGTACTTCTTTGGAAGGTCGTTCAATCCAGTAGTGTTGTAAAGAGATATTTATGTAGCAATATTCATTACACTTTGTTGCTGAAATCCAACTCGATCTTGCATCCATACTATCTTTTAATTATTGTTACATTTCAGTATTTGCTTACCAACTCTCGCAAAGATATTTTCTCTCTGAAGCTCTATGTACATATCAAAGTGAGTTTCAAGTTGCATTGTGAAAACTATGTATATATCAAAAATGTCCATTTTAGCGTCTTAAGATGTTTTCTTGATATTTATCAAATGTGTTGATTATTTGATACATTCAATTTTATAAATCTTGTGAAATGTCCATATTGAGGTTTTTGGACATTTTAATAAATAAATCATAAATATGTGTTTTTCATGGTTTATTGTATAAATAGAGCTTATTTGACGTTAATGCACTTTTAGAGTCATATGTCATTCTGGGTATAGCGGATATAGACTCAGATTCCGAGACCTCGATGCCATTTGGTATTGTGGAAGTGAACTTGCATAAAGTCGGATTCCATGACGAATGGGTTGAGGTATGTTGTTTAAGTTAGAAGTTTTGATGTTCTCACTATATTTCTAGTGAGTGGTCACCAAGTCAATGATTTGGGAAAACTTGCGATGGTACTCATATAAGTCGTATACGGAGATTGTTGACTTTTGTGGGCGAGACTCGTGTTTAGGACAAGTATGAATCATGGTCACCCTAATGCTTGCGGTGGTACTTGTTTGAGTCGTATACGAAGTTAGGGGATGGTGGTGGTACTCGTTGGATTTGTATACAGATCATGTCTCTTGCAACAATACTCGATAGACTCATATACAGAGCCCATTTTGACCATGAGAGAAACTCGGTAACGTTGATGTATGCCTTACTTCATGTTCTCCATATCCGATGGATACAGGTCTCTCCCGTCACCGCAAGGTGTTATTTTTGGATATTGTATTATCCATTTGTTCGGTGTTGTTTTGGGTTTGGAGATCCATAGTTTATGGTTTTGGTATATCGGAACTTATCCATGTTTAGAAGTTTTGGATAGTAGAGTTTTATTCATGTTTGATGAATAACTACCTAAACAAGTGGTTTTCGATCTCATTATAACATACGAATAACATAGCAGGGTCTATGTATGTTTGCTTAAAATCCAAGGTACGAAGAGACATTAAGATAAGCAAGGGTGATGACTTTTACTTGGTTTGTGTTAGTAAAGCGACTTAAAGGTCATCAAGGTACCCAACCCAAGGGTGGATAGATTCCATAGCTACAGAACTACGACAGTTGGAGATTACGATCTTCTTTATCGAATATCATATCAAGGACATAAAAGAGCATATCCAATATCATACGGTTGACATTCTCGAAAACAAACTCATCAACTATTAGACATAAAAAAGGACCACCGAATAAGTTTGTAGATCAAAATTGTAGCAGTCCGAAAGGTTATTGACACGAAAAGTTGTTTTGCTGATGATCTAAGCAGCAGATAAGCTCCAGAGCTGTACCGAGTTTAAGCGTAGACATGAAAGCCGCCTCGTTTTGAACGTCATCATGAACTTGAAGGGAACCACACAACGAATAACCTCTTCAGGTCGGTCGTCCATTATTAAGCATTTGAGCTTTGACCCTCCATGCGTTATTGCTAGTATAATAACGACATCATCTTGATTGAGGTACACACTAGCTTCGGTTACCTGTTTTTCTTGCCACCCGCTAAGATTCGTTGGATCTGTAGACCTCTGCTGAAAGCCTGGTTGAAAAGCAACCGGGTTTGGAAGTCATACACCATGGGGAACCATGCAAGTATAGCCACCGGAGTGAAAATCATGACACCCATTAGATACTCGTACCCTCTCCCTAGTGCTTTTACCGATCCCCACATTCCCAACCCTTTCACCACAGGCTTGCACGCTTGTGTTATCTGCAAATGAAAATGAAAATGAAAATTCAAGTTACTTGATGCGATGGCAAATGAAAGCGGAGGAATGTTAACTAAGATGAATCAGGGAGGTGAAGATTGCAGACGACCTGCAAGATGGCCCATCCGGTTGGCAAGAAGGCAAGTAAGCTGGCGAAAAGGTCACCGATGGTGAGACCAAGGAATTGAAACATCATCACAAGTGTGATGGTGAATCCAACAAACAGGAACAACTTAAGCAGTCGGAACATCAACTGGAAATCTGCACTGAACCTCTTTCTACCCATGGATACAATCTGCAGATGGGAAACATGACACCACCTTGAATCTAAAAATACGAAAAAGAATCATAATAATGGCAATTTCACTATGTTTGACCAGTGACTGACCTTCAAGATGGCGATAACAATAACGATCACCAGCCAAGATAGAGCATACACCTGTAACAGTTGCAGGTTCAGATCAAACAGTTATAGCATTGTAGATTTTTTGTTAATTGAGAGAAGGAACTTATTCTGGTTGTGCTTACCAAGATGCTTTTATCATTTTGGACGACTTTAAGCTGATAAACAACTCCATATTGGTAGATAAAGAATCTGAAAGAGAGAATAACTTCCATTAGACGTCCAATAAATCCAGTTGATCGAAGGTGCTCCTGTTCCTCCTCCCACCAGGATTCCCAGCTCTTGTTAGCTGGAACACCAATACCACCGCGGTTGCTGATCCATGCTGACCAATCATCCCAGTCCTCCACTATTTTCTGCCACTCAAATCCTGAGGGGTTGAAAAGGAAAGGAGCAAACAACCAAGAACACACTAGAAACCACATGGAAATGGTTAGGAACAAGTAGACGTCACTGTTTGCAAATGCTGAGCCATATGCGTGATAAACAACCAGTAAAATCATCAATTCCATCCCTTTCGTAAAATGGCTCCGTGAGTACATTCTGTAGTTTTCTGCAAACTTCTCATGTCTAACGACAAAACCACGCCCAGTGGCTCTGTACTTGGCCCCACCGTGCAAAATTGTGCGCCCGAAATAGTGTAGCTTTGTTCCAAGAGAGAATGTAAAGAAGACAGCTGATAGTTGGAGGTTCATGATTATCAAGTCACCAAATGCTGTTCTGAATCCTCTCTCTAGTCCAATCTCCATGATCATGGGCAATGCCATCAAAAGACCAAGTTGAACTACAGACTGAGAAGCCATGGCAGCCTTCAGAGCCCTATCTCCCCTTAATCTTGCCGATTTCATGATTGCTTTCTCCATTCCACTTAAAGCCAGGTATAGTCTTCCATACAAGAATGCATACACCGTAAGGACTACCATCTGGATAGTATCCACAAAAAATCAATGTCAGCTAGGAGGAAAATGCCAAGTAGGGAGACACACATATATATATAGACACAGAGAGAGAGATTTGGGAGAATTTCTAAATGCTAAAAGAAACTAAATTTAGCATGGCATGCAGTAATATATCTAGTTTGAATATCCCCTTAAACTATGTATTTATGGTTATTCTTGAGACTCTTTTACTAATATTTGCATTTATCATAATTGTTGAAACTTTTATCTTAGATATGAAACTAAGATTATATGCATACATCTTATGGTATAGTGTGTATAGAAAGCTATTATCACATGTAATGTCACCATCAAAGAAGATTACGGTAATAAGTTTTTTTAACTCAGAGGTGATGTTCAGGTACCAACTTTGGAGCTTGACAGATTTACTATTTCCTGGTTGTAGATGCCCTTTCCAGCGAGTTACCAAGAAATAGAATACAAAGACAGAAAACGATCTCAAAGAAATTTACCATAGAGCTGACATAGAAGCCTGTTGTCGTATGGTAACAAGAAAGCATCCGGAAGAAATCAAAGCGGTGACCTAGTCTGTAGATATCCCGACTCAAGGTCTGCTCGCCATTACCACATGCAACTTTTGCTTCGAAGAGTGAGATTTGGTTGAGGCCGACATCTCTCCCCTTCCCAACTTGGATGTACTCATGGTGAGTTATATTGCCACGTCTGAGTGTTGAGTTGAACCCTACATGTCAATGAGTATCCATAAGTTGTGAGATATTCAATACAAAATAGCACACACACACACATATATTACATATGCATATATACATGTATACATACAAACACACAAATCTACCTGCAAAGATGTCCTCGCTTAGATTGATGCCTTTTGAAGCTTTGCTGATGCCACCTCGTGTGATGTGGAAAATTCTATCAAAGACATCTGGATGCCCATAGTGGAACCGAACCCTGTAGCAACATTTTGAATTCTACATCGGCATCAAATGAATTATGGAAGGAGAGAGAGGAACCTATCACTTCTCCATTTTATGGTCTCTTAATATGAAACACTAGAAGGTTATTATCTTCAGACCCTAAAATCTCCACACGATTTGAGAAGAAATCTCTTGTTTTTCTTTGCATAAGGTTATAAGAAAAACATGAGACCTATCAAAATATTTGAACTTTCTCATTTCGCTCTCTGCACTCTCATCTAACTTATTTCTTGAGTTGTATATAATTTTCAAAAGCATGCACCTCAAGTAATTGAGTGATTGAAATAAATAAGGTATCCCACATAAGTAATATGTTAAGAACAAGTAAAACATACTTCAAAGGTCTTGCAAGAACTCGTTGACCGATGGTGACAAAGCTCGTTTCTTGATTTGACATAAACCAAGCCAAGGAAGAAACACTGCAGCAAAGTTATCGTATCATATCAGATATGAGTCATATTTAAACAAAAACCTACAGCCAATTTAAATTTCTATCCAACCTTCCTGTAAAGATATGCTCCCGAACACCCAAAATTGTTGGGGATCTCACTCCATGATCCTCGTTAAATTCTTCAAGCAAGTTCCGCATTTTGAAAGCTTCTTCCAAATAGTTGTCCTGAGACACAAGACGGTGCAAGTTTTTATAAAATTGAAGAGTCAACAATTATTAAAATGCTTGGGGATATACTTGATTCATGTCAATAGTCTGAAGAGCTTCCCCTCTTGTAAAAATGATGGCATGGTTCTGATTCTCAGGCTTCCCTTCTCCTATTTTTGGAGAGCCAGGTAATCTAATCCTGTAAATTTCCTACAAGAAAAAACATGCAGTCAGTACTACATATGAATATCATGCTTTTGCAGAGAAGTTAAAGTGAACATAATGAATAATGGAAATATATAACATGTCAATCACCTGATCAAGATTCTCTACAGCTTTGACCAACACAGAATAGTAGACTTTCTGTGATTTTCCTCCTTCTCTTTCTTCAACTTCATCGATATATGCCACACGCAGAGATGGATTGCTGTACAAGAAAAATCGGGAAGAAAGCAGTTCCATTAATTGACCACAAAACATGTGAAATCTCCATTATTGCATCAAATACTTACTGAACCATCAAATTCAAAATGTCTGTTGCACGACGGTCTCCAGTGCGCTTCTGATTACCATAAATTTGACATGTCGCTACATAAGTGAATTTCATATCAGCAATGGCCTCCAATTGAGCATACAAGGATCTCTGACTTTTCTTGTCCTCTTCTGATGGAATGGTGACAGCTTTATAACCTTCTAGCATTTCTGCTCAGTTTGTATATAGAGTTAGGGACAAAATTTACCTCCGAAAGGTTGATTATATACTCACTACCATGGAAGTTCCAACAATTGGCTCTATACGCATATTAATATAGGTACTTAGCTATTAGTGAAAAGGTAAAAATACCCTTCAATCATGCAAAAGGGATATATTATATAAATGGACTCTTGCTGTTCGAATTTAAGCAGTTCATGTGAACTAAAATCAACATCACAAATACTTTGCAGTGATGGCAATGATGTTTCATCAATATGGGGAATCCCAAAACGAAACTTGTTGCACTTTTAGCTGGATGCATGGAGTAAGTTTTTTCGCTCAAAGGGTTAACACGAGTTTTAAATTACTTCCACCACCTTAGAGCCTACTTCACTAAACATTGACCAAAAGATTGGCCAAATGAAAGACCCTCAGCTATGACTGATAAATTCAAATGCTTTTCATCACCATGGTTCCAACCATACTCCACAAGTCTTTGTCAAGATCCACAGAAATAAAAAACCAAGTATATTGTTTCTTCTAAAAAATCATTTTCCAGTTTATAAAGCCACAAACTGCATTGTGGCATAATGCAATTACTTTGATGTTATTACTCTTCCACGTAAACGTAGAACAAAAAAGAACCCTGTATTGCACCTTTTTGGTTGATGCTGATTTGCCAAAAAGTGCAAGAACGATTTTAGAGCACAGGATCATATATGCTTCCTACATTCATTGAGGAAGATTTCTGGGGCATTTATTCTATTATACAGTAGTATTATACGAGTAGATGCTAAAGAGAAAAGAGATGCATACATACACAATGCTTTAGCTCATACACCTAATGCTCAAATATATGTTCTTGCCTTTTTCAGTAGCCATGTCAAGGAAAGCCTGAAGCTTCAAAGCCCTTCTGTAGTACATCATCCCTCTAACTGGAAAACTAACATCTAGTTAGCTATTGAACTAAAATTCCTGAGAGTATCTGAAGAAAAAAATAATTTTCCATGTACCTGTTCTGCAAAGTGTCTGCCCTCTTAAGGAGACCCAGTGACGCAGCTGTAAAATGTTTTCATCAGTATCAAAAATTTCAGAGTCTTCTTTACAGTTTATGCGCTCCATGAAGTTCTCCCATTCATCTGAATAAAGTAAAATAATAGGACTATTAAATCATCTGAATGCATAAAAAAAGTAGCATATATGAAAAAGGAAGGGCTAGAATATCCAAACCTGGGAAGATCTTTCGCAGGTAAAATTTGATTGATATACCATCTTCATTCTCCATATCGAGGTCACTCTTTGAATAGACAGTCTCTTCACTATAGTAGGGGGTCATGACACTGCAATTCCAAGTGAATATAATTGTTTCATGTCGACAAGTTAAAACATTTTGTGGATTCATGTACGACCAGCCAAGGCCATCTAGTGTATGTACATAAATGATGTAAACCTAAAAACAAAACTTGTGGTCTACTCTGCATATTTTTTTGCAAATGGATATTTAAACTCTCTTTTAATGATCTTAACAGCACCTTCATCACTTAATTACGGGATAAATACTCAATTCCGACTTTTTTAATACAGTGTACCTCACGAACAAAATACAAACTAATTGGAACCTTCCTGTCATAGGAGCTTTTGTCTGTAATGACTCGTACACACATACAATGAAAGCATTTGACGTATTCACTGTTAATAAGAGCTAAACATAATGCCAATATATTTAACTTGAAGACATATTTGTTTTACCTAAATGATAGCATTTTACGCACTCGAGGGGCACGTGGCATGTCCATGAACAATGAATTTGTAAAGAACATGATCCTCCGCTGTGCTTCAAGGTTTTTAGGCACATCCATGGCAGATTCTTTTACTGTGAGAAGGAGATAAAGACGCTTTATCTGTGTAATGATAACAGTTAAATGGTGACAATTTGTAGCTGTTGACTGAAATTAAAGTACCAACTCACTTGTTGCATAATGCCTTGAACTAAAAGATAAGTATAACCTGTTCTTCCCACTGGGAGGTAACTGGAGGAGGAAAGGCAATAGCAGGTTTTGAGTCCGTAGCTTTTTCAAAAAGTTGCCTACCTGAATCCTGTCCAAGTTCTGCCAATTCACTGAAGTATACAAATACTAGTTATTATTTTGTATGCAGATCATATAAGAGAAGAACTAATGAACAATAGTGCATTTGACAGAATAGTCAAGGTCACTAACCGAATTTCATTGACCATCATATCGCGGGTAACTACTTCTAACATGTCCTGTAGTAGCAAAACTACAACGTTGTGCTTAGATTCATCAGCATTTTTCTGCAATATTAGAAGTGTTTCATGTTAAATGAGTTTACTAAGTTAACAACTAGAACTAACTACCTTTGTATGAAGTACTCACCAACATTTCTACCAGCTTCACGAATTGGTTGCAGAGAGTAGGTAGAGAACCCATTCTAAAGTTGGTGAGAAAGGAATTCCTCGATATGTTACTTTCAACTTCTTTAATTATGGTGCCAATAATCCTGTCAACAGGAAAAAATGATTGCTGCAGTGGCAGAATAAGGTTCTTAAATAGTACATTCAAGAGCTTTAGTGGTCATTCAAGCACTCAAAGGAGAGGGATAAAAATGTGTGCTTCCCCCAGAGGAACATCTAGACAAGACTTATTTGTCTAGGGAACAGAAACACCCCAAAAATCCAACCCAATATAGCATATACTCAGGGCAAAGAGAGTTTACAGGTGGAATTTTATCTCGCTACATTGTGGGTGGCACTAAATAGCTTTTAACAATTGTAGATAGGGGGCCAAGAAAGGACATTATTAACAGAAGGTTTTTTGAAGGTGTTAGGTAAAAAAAAGTACTGCAGAAAATTCACGTCCAATAAAGCTGAATTACTAAAGAAAGAATTCATCCTATGCACATTCAATCACAATTAGCAAACAAGTGGATTGAAAAAGAAATGTGATAATCTCACTAAAGGAAAGATGAAGAAAATCAAAAGATTTAGTAATAGGTAGCATGGACAACCTTTGCTCAGCTTGTCCAACAACCACAGTGTTGAGGACATTTTTGAAGCTTTCGTAGCATTCGATAACAGCACACTTCATATATTCATCAGCACATATACGCTTCCAGAGATCAGAGTCCTTGTACCGAAATTGAACTGCCATATCAATTGCGACTGGGATCTAAAACAGCAAGAGCAATCAGCCAAAGGATGCATTAAACAGATGGATAGTAATTAAAGAGACTAAACCAACCTTGCTAGCAAGCAGAAATGGGGGCCACTGAACTACTTTAAGGCTAGGATCTGAAGAATACGGAACTAGCATCAGGTCCATCTCCCTGAAATAGCTAACTACCCAGTTAAGTTTCAACTCCTATTTCACAAAAGCTGCAGAGTGATAAACAAATCAAAAAAGTTGGTCAAACAGCCTTTCCTGTCACTTATGAGATCTTCCTCACGGAAACTAGCTACAACTTCATTCCACAGCTGAGCAAATTTTGCAGCTTCACTCCTCCGATTAGGTGTAACCTATTTGTACAGTAGAATAGTATCATCAGATTTCTCACTGTTATTTGTAGAATGTTCTTGAACATTACATCTACAAAAACAAAATGTACCTCTACAAACCGCTTAGATAGAGAAAATCCTTTTTTCTTAGTATCAGAAGGCACCAAATTTGCATTGAATGCACCAGGTATAGACTGGAAGCGGGACCTTAGCATGATCAGAGTTCGTATCTGTGAGAAAAAAGACCACAAATGTTTACCATGAGACAACCAACAGAGAGTGTTGGAGGATCAAACATCACATCAAACCAGAAAACAGATTGCATAAGATTCTACATCGTAGCAATCATGCTCATCCCAGTCACTCGAAAGTAACTTGAATCAGACCTATATATTAATGAACTAAAGTAGCTATCTGCATTTTATATCAATACTTTTTGTAATCCTGCAGTTTAGAGTATAGTCATATCAACAGCTGTATCTTCACTTAACTAGAAGTCCCCACAAGGGTAGAATACAGCCATATCGACCAATGTATCTCCATTCAACTAGAAGTCCACAGAAAAGTACAAACTATGTACACGAAGAAGTAAGTTCAACCTTTGCTTTCTGAAAACCTGCTAATATTTGACCCCAAGAAAAATCAAAATATGAGAAAATAATTCAACGCTGAGATCCAGCAACCAGCGTATTACGCAACCCTTGATTAAGACCATCTATGCATATCGGGAGATGCAAGGTTTTCAGATGCTGATCTTGTGGGTGAACTCTAAAAGTCATTGTCAAACAACTTCATCTTGATTGAGATCATAAGGGATCAATATAAGGTTTTCTAAAAATGCTTTTTCCTCATGAAAATTCATTTCTGTCTCTTGAATATTTGTATCAAATTGATAGTAGACTGATTGATTTATCTCTTGTTGGAATCATCAATGAATTCTATATATACGTTGTTTTAAGAAATTTTAATAATATGCTTTTATAGTTGCTAAAAATTATGATTTCTAAATTCACTCATTGCTGAAATAGTAAGGTTAACAAAAATGTATGTCCTCTTCATACAACTTGCATCTTTATGCTTCTTGAAAGGATATATTTGATTCACTTAATTGCTATATTTTAGTAATTTTGGTATTTGTTTCTGATTTGAAAACTTCACCCATTATCATTGTGCACTATTTGTGTTTGCCTTGACATAATTGGAATACGTCATGTCATATGATGCTTTGCCTAATAGTTATTTGTTCTTTATCTAGTTATCAGATATTCGTTTCTTTTTCATTACTTTACTCGATTGATTCATGGAAACCCATAGATAATGCTTATCTTGTTTTCTTCTCCATGAAATTTGCTTATAATGTGTTTGGATTCTTCCATTTTTTGCATCGAACCAGGACAACCATTTCTGTCGTCATTTCATTTTTTTTCCGGTTATTTTTCAGAAAATGTTTATTAAAGATTAAAGTTTTTTAAACCTTAGCAGTTGCAACTACCAGCGCCACATATTAACTTATAATATAGTGAAAAGAGAAACCTCATCTTCGTCTTTTTGGTTTATTTCAGCTAATCCAAGTCGGAAACAAGAGACTACTAAATGCACACTCATGTCACAGACCCAAAAGAAACATAAAAAGGAATAAATGCAGTACCTCTCCCAGACGATCAAAGGCCCCAATAACTCCACCACACAAAGTTGCATATATAGCATACCATATCTGAGTGTCCATAAAGTAAACCTGGGTAAGACATGTCATATCATACCAATGTTAAAATTAACTTGGTAACAAAGAAGAAGAATGTTAGCACCTATAATTGGAAAAAAAACTAGAAAATATGAAAACTAAAAGCAAAGGACAGTATAACACACCAATATAACAGGCATCCAGAGTGCAGCAACAGCTCCCAAGTTGTTTTTAGCTGCAAATGCATTATAAAATTAATTATCCAGAAGGAAAGAAGAAAAGCGAAACCTAGAGTTCAAAACATACCTTGAGGAAAGAATTCATGCCAAGCATATTGAACACGCCTGATTTGCATAATATCTTTTGTTGGATCAACTAGTGGTTTTATCTAAGGACGAAAAGAAAGATTATTGCTACAGTGTTATTCCATTTTTATTACAGAGTTACAACTTGGAGAGAGAACAATACCTGAACAAAAAAGCTAAAAGCAAATTTTGAGCATAGAAGGACCACCCAAAAAAGAGTATACCTATTAGACAGTCAAGTTTTCAGTAAGATAACTGTCAAAGAAATAGCATGGCGTAAACAAAAAAAAAAGTACATACTTTATAAGGGCAAACTGACTTTCATGCATTCCCCTCCCCACATAGATCCTGGGCTGCAGAGAAACGGACAAAGGACATAAAAGATGAATTACTTTGTCTATAATGTCAAAACATATCCCCTCCCCCCATCTTCGCTCTTCATGTGATGAGAGAAAAAAGAGATTCAACTCTGTCATATTTTATAATAAGCATATCGAGATTGTTTACCCAAAAAAAAGTTTTGAATTGTGAAGGACCATTCTGTTTCTTGCGATTGTCCTAGCGAAGGATGCTAAATACACAGTTATTGATTACAATATAGCCAAGAAGACACACTTGATAAATAGGAGTAGAGTTTGGACTTCAAAAAAATCATGTTAGCAGAGTTGAATCTTTTTTCTCTGATTGGAAATCTGGTGTTTTCCTACTGATAGGAAAGAGAAAAAACATAGCATGATAAAAGGTCTTGCTGTAGAACCATAGTAAGGAAACACCATATTTTGGGACAATAAAGCCATTTTAAATATATTAGAGCACAAACATGATTTTTCCAATGCAACACCCATCTGAATACACATTGAGAAGGTGTTATTTAACTTTAAAATGCCATAAACACATCATACAGATGAGTGGTTGATAGTGATAATAGTACCAATAATAATAATAATAGTAACAACACTATAAAGCTAAAAGTTCAAGATGGGAGCATATTTGAATGCAGTCGAAAATCTATGGGAAGAATATTGCAATATATCCTTATGACAATGACATGTCACATGCTAGGTATATGTTAGTTTTTATTATCTATCCCACACACTTCTGACAAATTAGGGGGGGTGAAACTGGAATTTCAACAATAAGAATAATAGGTAAAATTCATGGTATACCTGTGACCACCATAGGAAAAATCTAACGATAAGCCAATCAGAGTTCTCAATCCAACGTCGAAGCATAGGAAATATGAACAAAACTGCTGCGAGTAAATTCGGAAGCAAATATAATGCCACAGCCATAAGATATAGAGGAGGAATGCCCTTCAATTGATCAAGAAAAGAAATATAGTTTTTGAGTTGCCCAAAGATTAATGCGTTAGGGTCAGCTTGCTGAGCATAACATAACGGGAGAACAATAGACCATCCGATGCTACCAATAATCTTCAGAACTATCCTCATCAAATCAGTGAACCTCCATCTACGATAACCAGGGAAGTTCAGAATAAGGTCCAAGATACCTACAATCAAAAGACACGGTTAAGTAATATAGACAACTGCATCCCAAAGTATGTTTCATCATGAATGTTTCCTCAAATCACTTGGTATGAAAATATGCTCAAAATATCTGGATGCTTGAAGACTTCATACAAAGTATCACCATATAATGGTTATTATCTCATTGCTCATACTCTGAACTCCGTTATTGGAAACATTGATGAAGAACAACTGACAGGATCATAGGCCTTTAACCCTCCAAGGGAATTCTTGAAGGCTTCAAATCTTATACATCGTTTTCATAAATCTGCTACCTAGGACCTGCTTTCTCAGCAAGGCTGTTTCAAAAGGCTATAGAAAGCATATTCCAATGAATAATCTAAATTTATCATTTATAATAGTTCTTTTCCTCTGTTATGAATCAGGTAACTTCTGTGAAGAAGCCGATTAGACCAGAGGAGAAATTCCAATGGACTTGAGAGGGTGATTTAAAGGATATAAAAATTCATTTTGCCAGATGTGTGACTGAATATTCAACTCTAGCCATGTGTCCCTGGACTTCTCAATAAACTTTCTGGAAATGGTGAGAGAGAAATTATCTATATTGATTGGGTAAAAACCAATCAATAACTTATGTGAATCTGGTAACTTTATGTGGAGCAACCGATTAGACCAGAGGAGAATTCCAATGGACTTGAGAGGGTGAGTTTAAAGGATATAAAAATTCATTGAGCCAGACGTGTGACTGAATATTCAACTCTAGCCATGTGTCCCTGGACTTCTTAATAAACTTTCTGGAAACGGTGAGAGAAATTATCTATATTGATTGGGTAAAAACCAGGTATACAGATACATATCCAGGAAAATGATATCCATCCAATAGCATATTCGATTTAAGGAAATTATTTATGTAGTAATTTCTTACTTGGATAACATTTCCAGTTTTGATATTCGATGTCGAATGTGCCCGCGGATTTTGTTTCTGGAGTTTATGGTGGAATGAGGCAATGAACAAAACCAAAGATCTTCATAGATGACAAATGTATGAGTAATTTGGATGTGTTGGATACAATACAGTAGAGTTTTTGGGTATGCTATATGTGGTTCCTTAGCATCCATTTACAGTGTAAGGTAACTCTTCTATTGTACTAATCTAAGCATGGTTTGAATGCCTCCAATGCTGTGAAGAAGAGACATTACTTGGATATCCACTACATCTTACTTTTAATACCACATTGATTGTCCGGGGAGATGGTTTAGGGTCAGAGGTCGGAAACAGTTTTCCGATTGATATATTAAGGGAACAGTTTAGGGTTTAGAGTTGGGAGAAATTTTTCCAAGTGACATATTGATAACAATATACATTAATATCTGGTACAATAGTTTCCTGGTGGACCGGTTTACATACTGAAGCTAACAGTGCCTGATCTTAACCACAAGGGTGGTGCCTGATTGGTTTGAGCTTGTCTCCAAAGGTCAAAAGTACCGGGAGGTCCCAGGTTCAAATCCAAGGAGGAATAAAAATCCCCTTGTGGCCACGGAGGTTCAAATACCGTGACTCCGGGCTATCTGCAAAGCAGGTGGTCGCCTTGGGATTAGTCGGCTCGCATAGCGGGTTGGATATCCAGGTTAATAAAAAAAACAGTGCCTGATCTTACTTTAACCTATTTCTATCTTCCAACACCCTTGAAGATACATATTGAGCATTCCCACATCACAAGGAAAAAATAGATAGAATCTTCAAAAAGAAAAAATGTGGACAAAAAAGAACACAGACAAAACAGAAAAGAACAAGCAGCAAGAAGCAACTTAACTTAGAAAATGACAAAAATCATGATGGCTTCCTCCCAGCTGGATCAGTATTCCTATCTAGACATCTGCTCTTCTTGACTAACCTATTCTACTCCTAAAAAGAAATCTCTATATAAAATCCCAACAGATCAAGGAGAGCACTTCACTTCACATGTAACTCCTGAAGAACATTATTGTGAGAAAAGCATTCATTAAATCCAACCATAGCAGCAATAATACATTCTAGGAGATGACTCAGAACTGCCATATTAGGTCCGACAACATCAGATATGCCATGACAACCCGAGACAGGGCCAAGGAGAACCACAGCATATTGCACCAACTTTATCTGAATCAAAAAGTGTGTAGCGGTGCATGGAGCTTTTACACCGTGGATAGGGCCATGAGACACTAACAGGTGACACCCATCACTTAATCTCCAGACATTATTTTGGCAATCATCAGGAACTGAACATTCTAGGGAAAGAGCTAGCTAAAAAATAAGAATAGGAACAACCAAGTGGAGAGAGTACAAGAATCAAGAGCAGATACCAATCGACTCAGTTGCAGAATTTGTTAGCACAGGCCACAATGCTGCAACGATAGGTTATTAGGTGGCAGCAAGGATCAGATGAATGAGAATTCAAGAGTAACTCCATTACCTTATTCTATTTGTGTCACACATAATGACTCATGTGATCCTCTCCATGGAACGGTTAGAACTAAAGGATGATTTACAAATGAGAACTCCCTACCCACATCATAGGAGATGGCAATTTCTCAGGGGAACCTACTGGTCCTGAAAAGGTTCTAGGTTTACCTACAAAAATGCCCAAGACTACAACAAGCATCAAGAGTATTTTAGAAAGATACAAGATACTCCTAGAACTAGAGAATACTGGATATTCCTAGAGCTTTCTGAAGAATTCAGGAGTGAACCTTGGTGAAGGCTCATGTCTCACTTAGTGAATGCTTGGCATCCACGAGGCATCTACATAGAAAATCCTCAACTGAATCATGTAGGGATTGACACAGGGGCAGGAGACTAATAAACCATACAAGAATCATAATTGAAAAACTCCATACCATCTCAACAAGACACAAACAACCCTCATAGAAAGGTGGAGTGCAAAGGGGGAAAGTAAATTTTTGCATGGAAGTGTTGATGAATATCATGATTGAACAGGAATACTTCATGCATTAAGGCTTGGTCAGCCAACATTTATCCAGAAGCCAAGTTCGTTTTCAGAAGCAAATCTGTTTGTGTTTGTGCTTGTGCTTGTGCTTGTGTTTGTGTTTGTGTTTGTGTTTGTGTTTGTGTTCGTGTTCGTGTTCGTGTTCGTGTTCGTGTTCGTGCTTGCATCTAGTACACTTACCAAATGTTTGTTTCATTAATAGCAGAATTTTTTATATATTCCAAAGCATATAACTCGTCAATGTGGATCTAATAGAACAGAAACCCTATTTGTTTTGGTCATTTAAGATTTCAGTTTTTGTGTCCACTTGACACGGTATGAAAAGAAGTAAATATGTGGTTGTCGATCCCACTTACTTGATGTGAGGAGAAATGGAGATGGGGGCCATGAAACGAAGGTGACACTTATTTAAACCAATAATAAAGACTTCCATTAGCTTTTGACAGGATCATTTATCAAGAACAAGATCAGCCAAACTACCCAACATCGCTTTCATGTTATCTCATTATTAGTGGACCAAATGAAAGAATACAAGAAATAAAAGCGTAAGAAGAACCATTTATCGCTGGAAAAAAAAAAAGAACATACTTTGAACAAGACGGAGAAATGCTGCTGTAATGAATATACTGGATATCTTATATAACACATGTTTGTCAAAGATCTCCAAAACTGAAGTATTATCCCATGCAATAATGAACATAACCTGCAGTTGAACGATAAATTAATAATTACACAAGGAAATTTGCAGCAGAATGATTTTATTTCTTTCTGTTTCTAACCTGCAGAACCAGTATAAGAAATGTCCATAAACGATCAAAACTTCGAAAGTTGTGCCAAAATGATCGTGTCTCAACAAAATAGGACTTTCGCATGCTTCCAGCCTGTTGACGGGATGACAGTTTCCCCTGACATCACATATTCATGAATCAAAAAGTAAATCTTTCAATCATTTCAAGTCACCAATATCTAGATATAGATGTGAACCTGTGTCATGAGACGTGTTGATTTAAAAAATTCACCATCATTACGCATAGGCCAACCCAGAGAAAAACAATCCGGTGACCTATAATATCAAAAGATAAATATTGCTTAGGGGGCAATCTGAGACTTAAGTTGACAGTTTATATCGCAAAAAGATTTTCAAGACCTTACCAGAAATATTCATTAAGATCATCATAATTGCACCAGTCAGAGTGGGGAGCCTTCCCGTTTCTGCTCCTCTTGGTTTCCTAGAGCATAACAATGAGCACCATGACAAATGGTTGTAATAATAAAATCGAGTTTGACTACAGGTCCATGAATGCAACAAGTGGTACCTGATCTATGACGTGATAAATTGGAGTTATAACTTTGCGAAGGAAGGCCTCTTCATCCCCACCATAAGAAGGCTTGATGTTTTCTCCAGTCACAACACTAACATTTCCGGTTAACAAGCCATGTAGTTCATATGCCATCTGAAGGATAGCAGGATTCGGTCAGGAGCTTGATCCCCAATATTTGATTTAATGTATAAATTAATTAGCAGATTCCTACAGAATTGTAACAGATAACTGAAATACTTACATTGTGAAAGATGTAGCACAGGCACTCTGGCATAAAGCGTACATTAGCTGCTTCACCCCAGATAAGAAGATACAGGCCCATGTAAAGTAGCTTTCTCTGTTGAACTTCTTGGTGTCCTTTAGGGAGCCTGCAAATCATTAACACAAGTAACTTTTAACTTATAAAGCACGGAACAACCTTTACATAAAGCTATCAACTACCATGAGAAGTACTATCAAGAACAATGCTAGCACTACTCACCTTAAGCTATGTTTCTTTCCCAGGTACTTGCACCAGGTTTTATAATTTTTGAAAAGCTTGGTCATCACTCCATCAACAGCTCGATCATCAAGCTGCATAACAGTAGTTTTAGAAATTAAGTAGCCGACATGAACAGTCCTCTTGATCAAAAAAATGGGAAAAGAAAGTTCATGAAAAATAAAAGTTGAAGATAATAAAGAAGAAATATGGACGTTATGCTCACAACAACGACTGTTGTTGATGCATGTCAACACCATAACCCATGTTACCCACCTGCTCCCTGCTACAAGTAAGTTACAGGTTGAGCCATAATTTTGGCTTTTGGGGTTGATAGATATGGGATTGATTAATTTCTAATTGGAAATATGATGTATGATGCATCATGAGCACACATAAAGCATTCTAAAACTCAAGAAAGTTCCATGAAAACAAGCAGAACTAAGTTTTATAAGAAGTCCATGCCTTGTTACTGGACTCAGGCTTTGGCATAAGCCTTGCTTGAGGATGGGCAAGTTGCAAGATCAAATGCTCCCTCTGGTTCCTGACATTGTCTCTCTGGAAATATTTTCAAACATATGTTAAAAGATAAACTAAATAGAGGGTTAGTAAACAATATCCAAACAGTCGGCATCATCTGAAAATAGAATTAAGGTGCAAAGACCACATGCCTGAAACCCAAACATTCCCCTTAGCCAATCAAGAAGATCCAACTGTCCTGATCTCTGCCGCTGTGGATCAGCTGAGGCCGGCCAATTCAAGCCACTAGTGTTCCGGAGAGCAGACACTGCTGCCTTAATCTGTAGTTTGATAAAAATTAAAAACTTAGAAAAAAATAACCATTATTCCTCAGAAAAAGCAAAAGAAATAGAAAATGGGAGAGTGGGCACCTCTTCAAACTGCATGATGCACTGCGACTCCCCTGCAGAATCGAGGGGCAGAATGTTGTAGGGTGCGTATATACCCTGCTTTGCCTCAATATCTCTGGCTGATTCGATGATCTAAACAGAAATAATCACAAACATTATGGGATTATAAGGAAACGCAGACAAGCTAGTTCAAGAGAAAAATATTGGGAAACTGACATCAGCCGGAACTTCTTCATCCTTTTCAGACTTGTTAACCGAGCAAAGTACTTCAAATAGCACTCCAGCCACCTGGTAAGCTTTCCCCAATTGGGCTCTGATGTTCAGATTAACATTAACAGCAACAATAAACCATGAATCAATCCATTGTTTTCTTCTCTTTTTTTCTTACATTTCTCTTCAACAAACAAAATCACAAAATGCTTGATCAATTTACCTATCTCCTTTTTCGCCCTGATCAAGTGCCATGACATATTTCTCATAATATTGTTTGTAGTAGCTCTCAATTTCCCGCGCATCCGTCTTCTTGACACGAGCTGCAAGACTTGAAGCATTTTCCTGATGAACCACACTCTCAGTTTCAGTTGATCTTTTTCGGATTAGGGTTTCAATTCGTTGGTAGGCAGACCAGAGATTTACTTAATGTAAGCGAACAGTGCGAATCAAGGAAAAAATTTAGATTATTGACCAAAATCGCAGGGCATCATAATGACTTGTTGGATTTTGTTTTCCTAGAGTACGGGAAAGTTCTGTACGGAACAAGGAGATACTCCCTCCCATTTCAAATATAAATTATCAAGGATAGACTAAAATATAGTCAAGCTTTCTGCGTATTAAACAACTGTGTTTTTTTAATTTTGTATTGATATATATTTGGGGTGTCTGAGATTATTTATTTAAAATGTTTCTTTTAACTTATTTAGATGTAGTAGTGATAATAAGAAGTTTTTAAAGTTTTAATCGAGAATTAAACAAAAAAATTATATCGATTTGGCACCGATAAAAAAATGTTTTTGATAAGTTATTCTCTTTTAACTTATTAACTTATTGCGATATGATATCGATTATAAGAAGTTTTTAATGTTTAGATAGGAAATAAAAAAAAAAACATCTCATCTATTTTATCAGTTTATCCGATGTGGTACCGTCATAAACTAATTCAAACATTTTTTATAAAACTTCAGTTTGCTACCATCTAAGTTGATAAACGTTTTTATAAAAAAAAACATAATTTGTTTTAAATAAACAATCTCAAATGCCCTCTTAAACATCATTAGTTATTATATTTTATCTGATAAAAATATCAGAAGACAAAACAACTATATTAAATAACTTTAACGAAATATTCATATGATAATTAAAGAATTTTATTAGCATGTAGTTTATTTTTAACATCTGTCATCATCTTTTTCAGCAGTATAAAAAATATATATAATTGAAAAAATAAAACTTTTGAAAAAATATCTAATATTAAAAAACAAGTCAATTCTGTAATGTTATAAAAAGATATATTGTATCAAAATTCCAACTAAATAAAGACAAATAGATATTTAAAGCTCAATAACTAATTATATTATTATACTTGTAACCAATCATCTTGAATGGCACATTTTATTTTCTAATAATTTATTATTCATATCTTCCTTTTTTTTAAATTATACTTTTTAAAAGAAAAGAAAAATGTATACACATGGAACAACATGCAATATATATGGTTGCATTTTTTTGCAAAGACGTTGTTATATATGTATTTAATCAAAAATATAATCAAGTTGATTGTATGTTCTCATATTGTAAACCTGGAAAAAAAATACTTGTGTTTTAAGAAAATCAAGGTTCATAAAAATACTTTTGAATAATGGAATTTTGCTTTTGATATATTTACGATTCACGGAAGTGGTTTACAAACAAAAATCATAATTTGACCATTTCAAATCAACTGGTTTTAATATTCCTTCCAAAAAGAATAATTTCATCAAATTTCAGTTTATATCATAGAGTTAAACTAAAAAGCTGGGTACCCGCTCCAATCGTTGAAGGAGAGCTGTCTTAAACTGTCGAACACCACGGCCACTGGAGCTTTGATCCAATCTATGTGCTTTCTCAAATGCATAGAATCGACCTTTTTTATAGAAAAACAGAATTGCAATAGTTAATCGTGATGATTTGTGAGCAATCAGTGATAAAATCAGTGGCAGAGTGCAATCGAATACATAAAAAATATGAAGATGAAATTATATGGTAATTTTGAGATGAAACAATTCACGATTCAAGTTTGAAAAAATGGTGAGTTGGCGTTGATTAATGAAATCAAAGAGTTGAAGGGAAGAGAGAAGAGATACATAGATAAGCAACGCGAGGCCGATCGTGTTGAATTTCGTTGGCAACACGGAGAATGGGAGCAATTTGTTGGAGTGACGATGGAACGACCTCATTATCAAAAACCTCCATTGTAAAGGTGGTTGTGGCAGCGCTGCGGGAAGACCGCCGTGTCAACGCAGATTGAGGGCCTGAATCACTGGAATGCGTCGATGACGACGCCATTGCACCTTCTGACTCCTTCCTGTAGGTGCTTGTACCAGTCTCTCCCTCTTTCTCTCTCTATCTCTTCACTCCCTACACAAATATCAATGTTCACCACCAAAACACATTCAATTTCAATCTTCTTAGGGGGAAAAAAACAAAATAATGTTATAAACATCACGAAAACCAAATTTACACAAAACAATTCAGAAAAGGTAACTTTAACACGACGTTGAAATCAAAACTCAAAAATTCATTCAGCATTTACTCTCTGTAGGTGTTCTCATGAATAAACACAAACATGTACTCGTCTGCATTGTGCATTGTACATTATACATTACTGAAAACTAGATCCAGAACTTCCAATAAATTAACTCTTGGAGATCAACACAAGTCGAAGCTCCTCACACCATCAAAAAACACAAAAGCAATGATTCAAAATAAATCGAAAATTTAATTAAGCTACCTAAATGATGAACAGATTGTAGGTTGTTAATTATCTTCTGCAACGGAAGCTGGATCTGAAGCTGGATCGAGAGAGTGATCAAGTGGGAAAATGGATGAATGTATCAAAAGGAGCCTCGTAAAGCGGCTACTTATTTATGAGTAACAGCGAGGGAGGGAGGGAGCTGGTCGAAGCTTGCTTAAAGTGAGGAGTCGTGTTGTTGTTGGAGAGGTTTGAGGAATGAGGTTTTCGGGGGACCTTCCATGGACGTATGGTTGAAATCGTCATCCTCCATTTTCTTTGGGGGTTTATTTGTAAGAAATCGGGAAGAAATATTGAATGATAACTGTTTTACTTCAATTCCATGCAACGAGTTTTTCTTAATTATACAACATTTGCAATGTAATGAGATATATTTTGATTTTAATGTTTCATTTTATTCTTTGTCTTTGTCGATGTTATAATATAGTTTTATGTGATTTTAAGAAATCGATATAATGTTTCTTTTTAAATAAAATATAAACTTGAATATATCATCAAAATTTAAATATATATATATATATAAGTTCTAGTTTTTTTTTAATTTCTTTAATTCAATTTTTATTAAAATTTAATTTAGATTTAATAACGAAGTAATTTACTAATTTATTTTGGTTTAATAATTAATTATTTCGTAAAGATAATAATTATGTATTTTGTTAGAACTCAATTATTATTCTAATTATGTTTTAGATTTTTTATATTTAAAATGAAAAATTTATCTTGTATAGTTGTATTTGATTATGTTTATTTGCAGTTAGTTACACAAATTTAAACTTGAAGATTTAATAAATTGTACTTATGTACAATTTACTTGTAATCCTAAACTTTAAGTAATATGCATCAATAAGCAGTACATCACGCATAAAAAATGGTTTTTAAGAGTTTTTGTCAAATATTTTATAATATAAGTATAGATAAACAATAACCAACTCTAAAACCTATGAGATTTGATGTAATTTTTATATTAACCTTTGATTGTTTTTATTTATTTATTATTAAACTGTATATTCAACCCGTTATGCGAGCCGACTAATCTCAGGTGGACAACATGTTTTGCAGATAGCCCGGAGTCACCGCATTTGAACATCTGTGGCCACAAAGGGATTTTTATTTCTCTTTGGATTTGAACATGAGACCTCCTGGTACTTTTGATCTTTGGAGTCAAGCTCAAATCAGGTGGGGGCATTAAGGTTAAATGGAAAGCGAAGAACCAGGGTCAACTTTGTATTTGGGAGTTTGCGGGTGGTGCTTGGAGCCAACCTTTGATTGTTTTCCGGTATTTATATATTGATTGACATATATTTATTTAATAATGTATTAGTTTCATATGTATTTGTTTTACAATGTAAAAAAAATTTACGTATACTTTTTGTTATACAAACACGTCAAAAAATTTCACATTTTAAATCAAGTACTGTGAAACAAATATATGATAATCACTACATTAAATTCTAACCATAAAAAAAATATCAGTTGGAATGGCAGATAATCAACTGATTCTTGGATATTTCACGATTTAAAGAGTTCTCAAAAAGAATGTTTCTATATAAATTGTATATATTTTCCTTTAAATATATATTTAAAAGTTTTTAACTTAAATTGTTTATTTTAAAATTAATATAAAAAACTTTGATGAGTTTTTTAAAACAATTCTTCAAAATAAATATTTTTAAATTCTATACACTTAAAATGTGTTTTTCAAAGCTATTATTCTCAAAATAAAAATAACAAATAAATTTCATATTTTTATTTTTTTAGAATCTACCCATTTGTCGAACAAATTGAACTTTCAACTTATATTTTTAAATTTTACTTAAGGATTGTTTGTTTATCTTTTGATAGTTTTATTAAAAGACAACATTTGAATTGTTAAGAGATGAATCTTGTTTGATAAAGACAAAGTCTGTCTCTTAATGGTTCTAAACCCCTCTGAATGATTTTGTACCGTGGGTCTTACTTAACCATTCAACGCCCTAATTTTATTGTAAATAGTTATCAAACAATTATATCTCATTTTACACTATATCATGAGAACCTTTTAATCATTGTGACCACTTAATCATTTTGCATTAAATCATTTTAGTAACGGCTAAACAGTTGAGTTACTTTTAAGTGAATCATGGATTCAATCATAAAAAATTAGCTTACAGAATATCTATATTATATTATAAAACATTTGACAAAAAAGATAAATGACTAAAATCTATATCTATACTATATTATAAAACATTTGACAAAAACTCTTAAAAACAACTTTTTATTTGTAAAGTACTGTTTATTCGTAAAGTACTATTTATTAATGCATATTACTTAAAACTCAAGATTGCAAATAGATTGTRYATAAGTACAACTTATTAAAGCTTCATATCTGAATTCGTATAACTAACTGTAGATAAATATAATCAAATACAAGATAAA